AGGGTCAATTAAACAAGAATGCATCAGAAGTCTAAACTTATGTACATGTAATAATTAACATACCTTCAAAATATACCAAGCAAAATTGGAGAAAGGAGAAGCAGGCAATCTGCCATCATACTTGAAGATGTTAACATATATATCTCAGTAAGTAATAGAATAATCAGGCAAAATATCAGTCTGGAAAGACAATGTTTGGACAGCATTATCTACCAATATGACTTAATTGAAATTTAGAGAATGTTACACCAATCAATTGCTCCTTTTCAAATGTGCATGGAACATCATCTAAAATAGATTATATGAAGGGCCATAAAGTAAGCCTCAGTAAATTTCAAAGGAACAAAATTGTAAAGAGTATATTCTTTGACTATAATAGAATTAAACTTGAAACCAATAATAGAATATAATTGGAAAATCCACAAATGCTGAAAATTGAGCAATACACTTTCATAGAATTAACAGATCAAAGAAAAGTCTCAAAGGATATTAGTAAACATTTCAATTAAACAAAATGAAAATATGACACATCAAAAATTGTGAGCTGCAACTAAATTCTCAGAGGAAAATTTATAATTTTCAAACATTATGTTAAAATAGTGAACATAAGGCAATGACAGCTCTTCAGTCAGTGTAACAGAAAAATGATTGAAGAAAAGTGAACAGAGACTAGGGGTCCTGTGGGACACCATCAGATGGACCAACATGCCTATTGTGAGAGTTCCAGAAAAAGAAAAAAGGGATAGAAAGAATATTTAAAGAAATAATTGTTTAAACTTCCCAAATTTGATGAAAGACATTAATATAAATATCCAAAAAGGTTAATGAATTCCAAGTAAGATGAACTCAGAGACCCATAATGAAACATGCTATAATCAAACTTTTAAAAGCCAAAGAGAGAATCCTGAAAGCAGCAAGAGAGGTGACTCCTGACATAGAAGGAATCCTTAGTGAGATTATCAACAGATTTCTCTGATTAAAACTATGCAAGCCAAAAGACAGCAGGCTGATAAACTCAAACAAACAAACAAACAGCTTCTTGGGAGGCTGAGGACGCAGGAGGATCACTTGAGCCCACTATGATCAAGCCACTGCATTCCAACCTGGGCAACAGAGCAAGACCCTGTCTCTTAAAAA